ATATATAGTAATTTGATTTTCTTTCATTTTCTTTTTTATAAAACTAAATTTTTTTTTTCTTTTGAACCCCTTTGAGTACCACCAGTAAACATACCAAAATCATAAAATCTAATTGAGTCTCAAAGTTTAAACAACTAATAAAATTAATCTTAAATTATTGTTAATGATACCCAATAACGTTTAGGAATAAACATGCTCTTATCAAGTGTAGTAACTAGAGGCAAACCCACTACAAAACCCAACAGTTAAGGACTTAGGACCTGTTGGAGCAGTCCTATGAACAAAGCCGATAACACTATTATTGAACTTTTGATATGCTTGAATGAACAAGGGGATTTAATAAAACACTTTAACATCTTTTTATATATATGAAAAAAGCATTTTTCATTAAACAATTTAAGGAATTACAAACAGAAAATACAAGTATGTTTTGTTTTGGGTCTTTTAGCATTATTTTTCCTTTATTTTGCCCCTTTCACCTCCTCTTGTTCTTGCTTCCAAGCAACAAACAGAAGTAAAACAAAACCCTAAAAAAGAACCCGGAAGCTATCGTGATAAGCAAGCAATGCCACTTACTCAGCTGAGTCACACCTTGATGCGTCAGAATATCCGAACCAGTGGTCAAACACGTCGAGCTCGATATCGTCATCCCGAGCGACTTACTCACTGTATCGAGCAGCTTCAGTTTCATCCCTTCCGGTAACTCCCCTAAAGGCGTGTTATCGAAAATCTGAACACCTCTTACAAAACACTTGGTAGCATCAGAAAACTCGTTCTGTAAAACCGCCTCGAACGGGTATTTCACAAGAGACAGGTAATGAAACCAAATCCAGTAATCGGGGATTCGGTTTCTGTTGATGAAGAATCCACTAAACAGCAAGAAGTACGCTAAAATGGCGACGGTGATTGTGTAACCTATCAACACATTTGGAACAATTCCTGATAGAAACGTGACGAAGGAGCTACCTGACCAAAACGAGGCTAAGATGATCAGACAGTAGAACAAAAATCCCATTGGTCCTCCGTCTAATCCCACTGCCCAAAACGTTGTCGCTGCGAAAGCTATAGAGAGGAAGATGAGCGAAGGGAAGGAGACAATGGCGTGAGAGAGCACGTAGGACGATCTCCGGTAAGCGTTGTAAGCAGTTTCTCTCATGAAAATGTAACGTTCTTGAAGGAAGACGGGAAGTGCTTCAGCGCAAGTGTAGAACATTGTAGACATGGCGAATGCGAAGAACCCTAATCGCTCTTGGACTCCTTTCGGCGAATTGTCTAATCGCCAGAAGACGGTGGCTAAGATGAATCCGGTGATTACCACGGAGGCGAATTTGATTCCGAATAGCTCTGGTTGTCTTCGAGAGTTGAGCATTGATCGTTGCGAGAGAGTCTTGATTTCGATCCAGAACGGGTTTGCGAATGCAGGGACAGCTAGGGTTGTTGTTGTATTTCCTCCGCCGTGTGGTATAACGGCGGATTCTCCGCCGGAGACTAGCTTTCCTCTGCTTATACTTGCGGCGATTGCTTCTTTTAGGGTTAGATTTGGGTACGGTGATGCAGGAGGAGTCAGTGATTGTTGATGATTGCTCTGTTTCTTCATTTCTTGCCACTTTTTGTTGAATTCGATTAATCCTCTAGTTCCTCCAGCGGATCCTTCAAGCTCACGGATGAGATCTAGGGCAAACTCTGTTCTGTTCTCGTTCTCCGGTATCGGACTACCGAACTCGGAGAAGAAACGCGGGAGACTCGCCGGAGATCCACTGTATACAGTGTGGCCTCGAGACAAGAAGATTAAACGGTCAAGCAAACCGATTACTCTGTGACTTGGTTGATGAATCGACATAATCACGATACTGCCACTCTGAGCAATCCTCTTCAACACTTTAACCACCATGAAAGCACTAGTGGAGTCCAAACCAGAGGTTGGTTCGTCGAGGAAGAGAAGAATCGGGTCGTGGATTATATCGATTCCAATCGAAACACGTCTTCTTTCACCACCGGAGATTCCACGGTGACCTTCGTCTCCGATGATCGTTTTAGCTGCGTTCCTGATACCTAATTGATCAATCAAAGCTTGAACACGAAGCTTCTTCTTTGATTTAGGTAAACTTCTCGGTAAGCGAAAATCGGCAGCGAACATTAGGGTTTCTTCGACGGTAAGCATTGGAAAGAGAAGATCATCTTGCATCACGTAAGCTGATATAACTTTGAGCATACGAGATTGAAGAGTTTCTCCGTTTAGGTTTACCGTTCCTTTCAAGCTTCCTTTAGCAATCCGATTCGCTAATGCATCGATCAGAGTCGATTTTCCCGAACCGCTAGCTCCAAGAACAGCCATAATTTCTCCATCTCGAGTCTCGCCGGAGATGTTATTGAGAAGGGTTTTAGTCTTAGGCCCTCCGGTTAGAGCAAGCTCAAGATCCTCTGTTTTCCGCCGTGGAATGAGATTGCGGAACTCGAGTTTCCGGCGAACAGAGACGTTGTAAGTGAGATTGTCGAATGTGAGAACGAAGGGAACAGTACGCATGTGATTGTCGTAGTCCTGGTTTAAGGATTCGTGAACCGGAGTCTCGTCTCCGATGGCCATTTTCCTGACATCACTTACGTTCTTCAGAAGTTGTCCAAAAGTTGAATCGGAAACAGAGGAGATGGAGTTGAGCTCCGTGGAGTGATACGGTGGCGTATCGTTAGCTGCTACAATACGAGCCATAGTCACACACAAAAAAAAATTCACAAACTTGTTCTGAGTGATCAACAAATTTAACGACCTTAAAACAGCACACTCATTGGGTTTTTCCTTGAGCTACACGAAACTGCTTTAACGACTTTGATTTCTCGCTCGAAGAAGAATAAGCAAAAAGTGTTTAGTTCCTTAGTTAGTGAGATTTTTGTTGGATATGTCTCCCTCTGTGTATCTTACTGTATACTTATATAGAAACGAGAGAGAGAGAGTACATGAAGAGACGTGTATGAATGTGTGAAGACACGAAGGCTTGATTGATGTGGAAAAAAAATCTGTTAAAAAAGAAGAAGAAAAGTCTTGGTTAGTTTGCATGGGAAAGGTATGTTGGGTTTTTATATTTTGACTGTTTGGATGTAATAAATGCGTTTTTGGTTTTATTGTTTTCTTAATGAGCGGAAGGTGAAGAGCCGACGTATCATAAATCTAAAGTTCACAAAAGTGGAAATTATATACCGAATCGGTCGGCAGAAGACACGTGGCGAAATGGGTTTTATTGACTTGAGAATTAGCCAATTAGGTAAAGGGTGTTTGTTTGTTGATCTAACAGAGGCATGGGACGAGAGCACCTTCGTGTGTGTTTCCCATACTTAGCCCAATTAATGCTCTTATCACTAACTTTTTCATATTTTGTGTGAATATTCAAATCTTCTATATATTGTAATTGTGACCAGAAACAAAAAAATTACGTATGTAAGTGTTTTCAAATTCAGGCTAGCTACACAAAAAAGTTGAGCAATCGTACCAACAAAAAGAGTGGAATTAACTTATAAAAAATATATGAATTCGATTCCTCTTAAGAACACTTTCACCTCTATTTGTTCAGTCAAAATGATGTCATCCTTTAAGCCAAGTAGAAAACCTGATGAGTGCACTACAAGAAAACAGGGTCGTTTCCGACGGCCAAAACCGTCGAAAATCCGTCGGAATAACCCCTATTCCGACGGCTTTCCGACGGTTTTGGTCCGTCGGTTCTATCTCGTCGAAAATAAAAATCTGTCGGAAATCCGTCGGAAATACTGACGGATTTCCGACGGAAAAGGGATAACCGGAATCCGTCGAAAATCCGTCGGAAATACTGACGAATTTCCGACGGAAAAAGGATAACCGTAATCCGTCGGAATTCCGTTGGAAGTCCGTCGGATTCCAATTACCGACGGATTTCCGACGGCATGATTTACCAACGGAGTTCCGACGGCCAGAACTTCCGACGGATTTCCGACGATGGTGGTAACCGATGGATTTCCGACGGATTTATTATTTAAAAAAAAAAGATTTCT